GCAGCAAGAAGTTCTACCATTGTCCAGCGTGTTTACCGGAATGATGCTTCATTGAATATATTCAAAGTCAACCATTGTCTTCAACGTATTTTGAAGAAAAGTAAACATATGCTGTTCTGAAAATAAAAAAAAATAAAAAAAAAAAAACTATTAATTGATCAAGATGCTTGGCGTGAGTTAAAAATTTTGATTCTCAATTCAAGTAGTGTTTGCGATTGAGTACAATAGTGAAGTTACGATAAAGTCAAGATTGAATGATTTAATTTCACTTCATCAACAAGTCAAAATAAGAAGACAGAGGGAGTTCTTCTTAAAATTCTTTTGATTGTTTTTATTAATTTTGCAAAATTGAAAAATCGAGACTATTGTGTTTTTTCGTCGTTTGATTTAGTGAATAGTTTGACTCATTGTATGGGGGCTTGTGAATGTTTTCCTTTGAGGATGATGATATTACTACAGAATCAACTTGACCCGATTTTAGGTGGGTTGCATTTTTTGCTGTACATGAAAATTGAAACTAGTCGACCACAGATTCAATCTGCATGTTGTAGACAAAATTGTTTAAAAACTGATCATACGATTTTCTAACTGTCTAACTATCAACTGTTTAGATAATAATTAAAATGATTTTTAATTTATCCAGATATTAAAATTTGTAGTAAGGTTTTGAATAATATATAATCATAATATTTTCTTCCCAAGTAGATGATGGTTTATAAAACATTGAGAATAAGAAATATTGTGTCTAGGGATGGCAATGATTGCTTATATTCTTCAGATACTTTTTTACCGCAGTTAGTGATACCTTGAACAAGTTTATTGAAGACATCCAAATCTTTTAAAAAATCGATTTTGAAGCTAAAAAAGCTTTCAAGTAGAAAAAGTTCATTTGGAGTGGATTTAGACACATAAAGCTCCTTCAATTTTTCCCAAAGTTCTTGAGCTGATTTTAATTTACCAACCTTTCCTAATACCGCATCAGACAAATGTAAAATGATATAAGTATATGCCAATTCATTCAAATTCTCCCTTTTTTTGGTAGTCAAGTTTGTAGGAAAAGAGTCATCATTAGCTTTAGAAACTTTTTGTTGAACAAGAATATCTTTTATTTTTTGTTGCCAAATTGAAAAATCTCCTTTACCATTAAAGACACCCAACTCAAAATGATGTGTCAACATTTCACCAAAAATAAACAAAACACGAACTCAGATATGTAAAAGTCACAAGTCACATAGATTAGACAGAGTAACAAGATTCCTATGATTTTACAATAATACGCTATTCTAGAACCTCAGGATTTCATGAGAATCAAGTTCTCAGATCAAGGGAAGAAACTAGAATAGAAGTCTGGATACAAGTCTAAAACAATACAAGATTAAATAACGCAACGATATTAAACATGTAAATCTAAAGATGATAAATAAATAAATTCACTTCGAAAATTAAACAAAGAATGACAAGTAATCCTAGGTTCTACCAACAAACAATGGTTGCCAAGCAATGACAACCCTCAATTCTAGTGATCACCCCACACGATGATCTGCTAGTGCAATAATGTAAATGTTTCAGCTAATTTACCATAGCCGACCTATTTGAGTCCGTAAGCTACGAGAGATGCGAATTTACTACTTTAGGGCCGCGATTTTGGCCTAAAGTAATTCAGTTAATATATATGACAATTTCGACCGTTGACCTACCAAGGACAAAATTGTTCAACTTTTTTTGTGTAACTTGAAACAGCAAACAAACTATATCAGTACGTTCAAGATATCGAAATAAGCAAACTACCCTAAGGAAGCTCGCCAAAATTCATCGCTGCGGCCGCTACCACGCGCTCCATTGAGAGGAGCACCGCTGCCTACTGGTTTCGAGTATGAGCTTAGATTTTTCGGCAGGTCAATGCTTTGGCCGAAATTTGCAATTTTTAGTTCGGCCTCTTTTGAAAAACATGATCCAGACGCCTTTTGCCATCGATTTTTGGCTGAATTTTGGTCGGAGTTCCACCACGACCTCGCTCTGATACCAATTGTTGAGCTAATCCTACCTACAATTGAACAAATCAACCAAGTGAGTGAAGGAACTAACTTGAAAACTTAAGGAACTCAAAATGAAAAAGAAAAACTAAGGAACAATGTTTCCCCCTTTTGATTCGGCTCAGAAAGAATCAATCAAATACCACAAAAGCAACACCAATTGGAGATATTTCAGTCACAGAAACAGAGGCACAAAAAGGTAGAGGCTAGTTTTCTACTATGCACAAAGCAGAGACCGATTTTTGGTGTGTGGAGAAAGTGGGGCCAAGAGTCCAATTTATAGACAAAGGGAAACAAATTTCCCAGAAAGAACCGGTAGGATAGAGTTGAAGAAAATTGAAAATGATTATCAAAGATAAGGATAATATAACCATTGCAACCATCTAAATCTCACGTGATTTAGAATTATCTCTAAAGTTGGGTATTGAGCTCCTAGTTCAATGGGCTGATTTCCTCTAAATATCCAACAGAATTGGGTTACATCAATTGTGTTGTAGATTTATAATTCTTCAATCATGGGCTTATAGCCTATGAAGTTAAACAGGCTTGATTATTCATCATTGCCTAGAGGATCTGGGCGTCACTTACTAAAATGCCCAACAAGAGTGAATGTTTGTAAGAATGAGTGGGTTCTTTTAAGTTGCTGTTTCTAAAGGATTTGAGAAGATTCTTGGTAATTTTTTAGAGATCTAGTATTGCTCTTAAGAGATAAGTGTTCTTGTGCTATCTCTGTGTATTAGTTAAACATTTGTAACCTTTTGTTGCATTTTGGGGTATCTAGTACAACGAACATAATCCAATTTTTTAGATGCTCAATGGGGCATGCAAGCATTGAATGTGGTTGCCAAACCTTTGGGGCTTAGGAAGCCTTTTGTGTTGAATCTTTAATTTATGCACATTTTACTTTCTGTAAGATCGTCTATTTTGCTTCCTGATATTAATATTGTATGAACCTGGTCTTACAACCCTCAATGCAAGAAGCAACCTCTGCTTTGTCTTACAAGAAATTCATTCACTTTGCTTTGGAAGAAACCAGGAAACATGCCCATTTAAGCCCCTCTCCCTTCTAGGTAAAAACCCTTTTGCTTATATATGTATGCTAAATGTATTTCGAGTCCCTTTTTATGTTTGTACGGGTAAGTCGTGTGAAGGGGCCAAGTTTTATCCACAAGGGTTCATTTCTTAAAGATTAGATTTTTCCAGTTGGGAAGATATGAATTAACAAGTTTTAGGCTGTGAAAAATACGTTTTTCTTTTTCGAGAATTTATTTTGGAGGACATTAATGGAAATTAATCTGACTAAGCCTTGAAATTTGTGAGGTTGTGTAGTTATCTTGAGATTGGAGGTGATATTTACAATAGAATGTTTTCAAAAGAAATGTGGTAAGCCTTTGAAAGAACAGAATTTGGCAGTTATTTGGATGGCTATATCGGATGTAAGTTTGTTATTGTTGTTTTGTTTTTATTTTTTGACTAATATACATTTTAGTAATTAAATTAAATTAATATTCAGCCAAAACTTTATTTTACTATCTACTGTTATGATTAATCCTTTTTTTTTTCGGTCATACAAGGCAAACAATGGCTTAGACTTTACCTTGTCTCTAATATTCATAAGTTCCTTAACCAGCACCTGAAGATATATACATAATCAGATTGACGTAACTTCAAATAGCCATAATCCATCAGGCGGTCAATACAACTACGAGTCATTAAGCATCACGGAACCTTTTTTTTTTTATATCTAACAACAACAAATTTCTACTCACGGACTTTTTATTGAGAAAATTTCGATCTAGAAGAACGCCTAAACACAATTTAAATAAAATTTATGCTCATTAACAGGAAATGGGAGAGCATAATAAACAAAATGAAGTGAGAGAGAATGAAATTACCGCCGGCTTCCGTGCTAGACAACTATCCCTTGCCATCTCTCTCTTTCTCACACAATTTAGGTACAGCCGTTAGTGATTTTTTGTGTTTCATTTTTTGCATCGTTTTATGATTTACGTGATTTGAAAATTTAATTTGAAAAATATATATTTTTTATTCAGGGGTAAGACGAAGAAATGTAGATAATTTCATTTTGTATCATCACTCGTCTAAGATCTCCCTAAATGCTTATTGTACATTATCGATTACGTAATCTTTTATGGGTTGATGATGTGTCAAAAAGAAATTGATTTTTTTTTTCTTTAATTGATGAGATTTTGATTTAATCAAATTTCATCATATTATCTGTTGGTAAATAAATCTGTAAGTTGCAATGTACGAGTCGAGATCTACTGCCTAATTTTGCTATTCATCAATAATTAACATGTTATTTCAAATTTATCCTTATTAACTTCACTACTAACCGTCTAAATTGATGACATGTTAGTAATTAATTGAATGGAAAGCAAAAATGAATAGTGAAATTGAAAAGCGGATCTCAACTCGTGATGTATATGTATTAATAGCATTACTTTTATGTAACAAAAAAAAATAATAATAAAATTCCTACGAATATGGGGTCAAACTGATACAAGGTAAACATTAGAGGACCAAAATATGCCAAATGAAAATGGCCCCTCTAAGCTTACGTCATTTAACAACTAAATTAAGGTTTCATAATCTATGATTTAGTGGGTTTATTTAATTTCTATGATCAATAACGAACTTTTGTAGGATAATTTTTTATTGATTCTTTAAATTTTATTTTTAATTACACGTTCTTTCAATAAAATTATTTTACACATGAATTCATGATTTTTTTTACTTTTTAATTACATTCTTAAAAAAAAAAAAAAAAAATCAATTCTCACCAAATCTCTTCTCAAGAAATTTAAATTTAGCAATACCCAAAATTATTGAGGAAGGAAAGAAGTGTGTGTGTATGTGTGTGTGTGTGTATATATATATATATATATATATATGATGACCAGGTTTCTATTAATTACTATTTTTCTTTATTAACATAATGGAATATATGGCTGTATCAATTAGTTAACTATTCCATCAAGAAGAGGCTGGCAAATCGATGGAAATTATTATGCATTGCCAATAATACAAAAGTGGCTCCCATTGATTTCGTTTCCCAACTTATTGTCAATAAACAATTAGAAACCTCATTGATTAAGCATGAAATGGGAATGACCAGGTAAAAAAGCCGATGATCAGAAGATTCCCATGAAGAGAAGAAGAAAAAGAAAAAAGAGAGAGATTTTAGCAAAATCTGAAACATGGGTTTTTCCCAAGACAATCTGAAAGGCTTTTTGTTGGCTCTTCTTTCAAGTGGGTTCATAGGTGCAAGCTTCATCATAAAAAAAAAGGGCCTCAGAAGGGCTGCCGCTGCTTCTGGTGTTAGAGCTGGTTTGAGATTTTTAAGCCATATTTATCGATTATAATTCAAAGTTTTGATATTTCTTCATATGGGTTCATATTTTTGTTCATGATGTGTATTTTTTTTCTTGATTCTTTTTCAGGTGTTGGGGGGTATTCATATCTCTTGGAACCTCTTTGGTGGCTTGGCATGATCACAAGTAAGTTTTATGGCCTTTTAGTTATTCCGTTTCCTTATCCCTTGTGACTTTGCTCAAGAATATATTTTCATAAATAGTCATGCCAATTGCCAGTTTTGTTTTAGGTCTCTCATTATTGTTTATGGCGTAGGGAATGCTGATTATAGTTTGGAATGTAAAGTGATGACCTAAATTTGGAATTGTTAATGGAAATTGAAAAAAAGTCTTAGTTTGTTGTTCTTGTTGTTACTGTATGCTTTTGAATTGGTTTTAATCGATAATATGTGCAATCGTAGTAATGAAGTTAATGATGAAATTATCGTCAACTTTAGGAATTGTTTGTATTTTCTTTAAATTTTCTAGTCTCCATTCCAGAAGTCCATGAGAAAGATTTGTAAGATTCTTTTTGCGAAGTTGAAGAATTCAATAAGGGATTATTGGTTGGCTTAGATAATGCAATCGAATTTGTAATAAGAGAGACCAAAATGTGATCTGTTATCAGGTCATGGCTGTTCTATGTTTGCTGACTGCCTGCAGGATGTTTCTTGTTGTGTTGTTTCTGATGTAGTGATTGTTGGAGAAATTGCAAATTTTGTAGCGTATGCATTTGCCCCTGCAGTTTTGGTCACACCTCTTGGCGCATTAAGTATCATTGTCAGGTATTTTATTACATTTGAGTTTGCTAGTAATTGTAAAGATTTTCTTTTGAATATGTCATGAATTGGTTTGCCTTTTGCTTTTGATGTTTAAAATGATACTACAACAAAGCGCCATACTAGCTCAGCTTATCTTAAATGAGAAGCTACACAAGCTAGGGATATTGGGTTGTGTGATGTGTATTGCCGGCTCCATCATAATTGTAATCCATGCACCACAGGAGCGGCCAATCTCGTCTGTTCAAGAGATATGGAGTATGGCAACACAGCCAGGTGAGAAGATCCTCGCATGTACAGTTTTAGGGGATGGATCTTGTCGAAAGACTGGCGAGTTCCTACTCAACTAGGGGGGCTGAGAAATTAATACAGAACTTCTCTTGAAGCTCTACCTTATTCTGATCGTTCATCAGAAGATCTTGATATTTTATCAATTATTGCATCCATGTTGTCTGACTGCATTTAACCTCTTTGGTTTCAGCTTTTCTTCTATACATGGGATCAGTCATTGTTTTGGTGTTTATTCTTATCTTCTATTTTGCTCCTCAATGTGGACATACAAATGTACTAGTTTTCACAGGCATTTGTTCGCTGATGGGCTCTCTCTCGGTAAATTCTGATGCATGTTTCTTTCTTTCTTTTTTTTTTCTTATGCACAAACATCTTAGGTTAGACTTCGTCCATCAAATTGATAAATTCTTAAGCAGAATTGTTTTATTAATGGGAATACTTATATCGGTTCTGGATTTTCTTAAAGTATGATGATAGTTTGTTGATGTTGAGTTTTATTAACACTTTTGTTTGAAGTCCATCAGTTATTATTGGTTTTGACGGGCCAAAATGGTATTCAATTGCTTGATTATGACTTGATAACTCACTTAGCAGTATGATATATTTTTATTTTAATTACATTGTCTGGGGCAGTAAGCAAACGGATCTTAACATGAAAGACCTTTGCCGTTTGTCAGGGGATTTCCGATTTTATTTCATGATGAGCCTAGTTTCTTGTTCATGTTTTTTAGTTTAAGGTCAACAACTATATGAGGTGTTGACGAACTCGTCATACATTTTTCCTTCTTAAAATACGTGTAGGCACAATTCCTTTAGGAAATTACTTACATTTTTATGATTTTAACTTCTGAAATTAAGTGAAATTGATTCATCTGAAATATGTTATGCTTAGAAAATGTTAGTGAAGATTAAGGAAATAAATATTGTAAATATAACATCTTCTAGTCAACATAGCAACCTGAGATGCAACAACAACAACAAACTATGCGTTATTGCCAATATATTTGGGTGGGCCACATGAATCCTTCTTTGCTATTCCAGTGGGTCGTTTGCTTGTGTTCACAAACATAAACGGTATGCTTTTTCATTTATTAAGTAAAGGACTACAAACTAGTTTTTACTCAAGCCAAGAAACAATCTGTTTCTGAAGAACTGACTCTGTTTACAACCACAACGCTGTTAAGATTCTTAAAGTATGTGTATCACATTTAAATTTTATAGACATACTATAATGGGACATTTTTCTTTCCTTTCAGTGAGAATTACTATCTCAGATGAGATGGTATTGCTCATTTTCCATCCTGTAATCTTTTTTCTCGTTGAATCTGAGTTCGTAGCTTGAAATTTTATTTTTGCTATTGCTTTGATTTATAGGTTTTAATCTCCTGTTCTTTTTAGTGCAGGTCATGAGTGTTAAAGCCCTAGGAACTTCATTGAAGTTGACTTTTGAAGGAAAGAACCAGTTGATCTATCCGGAGACCTGGCTTTTTATGTTTGTTGTGGCTACGTGTGTGATCACCCAAATGAATTATCTCAACAAGGCAAGTAATCAATTTACAATAGTACTATATTACGATAGATTAGCCTGTGAACGCTTATGACATGTTGGTCAGATTGACCGTATAACATTGGACAATATTAAAGAATGAAATGATGCTAAATTGTTGTCCATTATACTCTCCAGTACTGCAGACAAGCACGCCTCTAAGGTTTCGAGGAAGTTATAGTTTCTTGCTTTTAAAATATTTGAAATCTTGTCAGTTGGCACTGTACTTCTCCTCTTCAAATTTTTCTCTATTGTCTTCCATCTCCTTGTTACTTTCAGATTTCTTCAATAAGAATCTGGAAAGTATTTTTCATTTCATTTTTGTGAAACCTTTACTTTTTGACATAGTTTATGGATGTTTGATTGACTTCAGATGGCTTCCTCAGATTTTGTACTGTCATGCTTTCATGTAGATCTCATTTGCAATGATTTATTGCATAACAAGTTGCGACCTAGAATATTTGGGTTTTGTTGACTGAGTGAGTAATTTATTGGGATCACCATGAAGTTGAAAAATTATTATGAGTATTCGTCTTCCTTTCTGTAATTTTTAAAATCATTTTGAACCATTAATGGGATTCCTTTCTGAAAATTTTCAAGAACAAACTAGGTGAGCTGAGTATTTTTGGGTTATAATGGCCAATGATGCATGTCATCGAGTTTTGTCATGTCTGGTTTTAATTTTGCAACTACTAATGGGGTTTCGTGTCAATTAGTCTGGCATGAAAAGGACCTGCTTATTCATATTCGCAAGAGAGACCTGTATGTGATTTTAGCTAAAATGACAGAAACTTCTTGGGTTGAAACATTATTTTGAAAGGAAAAGCGGATTAGATGTGATATTTATAATTTTGGGCGTATGTATTTTTTTCTGTTACGAGTTCTAACAACTTTTACTTATTCCTTTAAACTTTTTTTTTTTTTTTCAAAGATCATCCAGCCTGCTTGCAGTTTATTACTTAATTCTCTTGGATGAATATGTAATATTTTAGTTAAAATTCAATTTTGTGAAAGCATTCTCGATGATGCATTATGTATAGTGCATTTCTTATTAAAGATGTCTACTGCATGCTTTCTAACTTCTAATGACAATGTATACTTGACGTTTCAGGCTCTTGATACTTTCAACACAGCAATTGTTTCTCCGATATATTATGTCATGTTCACTACGCTTACAATATTTGCTAGCGTTATCATGTTTAAGGTAATATCAATTACTTCTGTTATCTTCTACTGAATGTATAGTTTCCGGCCCTTTCTAGCATAGTTCTGTTTAGAGGATGGTTAAGGCAATGATGAGCAACTTCAAAATCGATTTTTCTTCCATTTGCAAATGACATCGTGCATGTTTGGCTAATTTTGAAAGTTATTTTTTCTAGAAACTAGGTCTTAAACATACTTCCTAGAAAAGTAAACACTCTCGAAAGCAAGTTGCTCATTAGGGTGGGTAGAACTCCGTACATTGACAACAACATTCTGACACAATCAAGTCAATTACCCTTACCATCCAGGCTGAAGTGCCTCCCTTGCAAAACCTTCGTTTTAAAACATATTACTTTTTAACTTGAGTTTGGCAAAAAAGAAGTATAAATGGAACTTTTACTTCTTTTAAGCTTAACCAAACATGAGAATTAAGATCTATTGAGGCCCAAATCTGAAGGTAGCGCTAAGCGTAAATTATTTAATGGGTTGATGTATCTGACTTTCTATTTAAACATTTACGCATCGCAGTGAATAACCTGTAAGTTAGGCCAGACTTAGAAGAAGAATTGCCAAACCTATCAATATACCAAGCGACCTCCAAAATCCAAAAAATAGTTTAGTAGGCATTTTCCCTTGATTCAACTCAGGATCAAATTGATTATGGAAGCCTGAGTTTAGTTATTCGAATTATAAGTGAACAAGGAAAAATATTATCTAGATGCATGAATGGATTGGCCTTGAAACAACAACAGTTGCTATAAAATAAGCTCACGTTTTATCTTTGTTACATCACTCAAATAAATTGAAAAAACTAGAGTCTGTTGCTAGAATTACTAGTCTTAGAACCCGAGCTAAGTAGGCTTGTTCTTTGTCCATCCATAAGCACTATAAAGAAAAGCGTAACTCTTAGTCAGAAAACTATTTTTAACAACATATTCTAATGATGCTAACCATAGTGGATTGTCATGTTCCAGGATTGGGACAACCAAGATGCAGGAAGCATTATTTCAGAAATATGTGGCTTTGTTGTAGTGCTCTCTGGAACCATCTTGTTGCATGCTACGAAAGACTTCGAGAGATCTTCATCTTTCAGAGGTATAGTATAATTTATGTTTTGTTTTATAAATAATCATTACAAATTCACACCTACTGATATTAATTGCCTCGAGCTTTCGTGCATAAAAATCATCATCAATTGCAGGTAATTATACTCCTTTATCCCCTTCATTATCAACCCGACTTTGTGCTGGAAACACAGAGGTTTTGATGCATGATGAGGACGATGGGTCGTATTCTGAAGAACCCTGCTCAAAGCGGCAAGAATTCTACACATAGAGTATATATTTCTGCTGAGGAAACCAACCTTGAAAAATTAATATTTGAAGGGATGATGGAGATGCATGATTATATTTCACATTTCAATTTTAAGTCCAAAACAGTGGCGTTGGGGAATTTTCACAAATTTATTTCATCTGATAATTGAATAACATAGTCAGGATATTGTTCGTAGCACACCAACTGATTTCAATATTCTCAGCACGGGAGTATGTGGAAAACATCATATAATGCACGCTTCAGACATTGTATACAGGAAGTGTTATGATCAAAACCATTTGATACGGAGATCTCAGTAACAGATGTAAGCTTCCGGATTTTTTGAAACTGTTTGTGCTGATAATTTATAAGCTCGGTGGCCAGAGCCGACTGGAGAATGGGCTTTATTTGGATGGGAAATATAGTAACTTTATGGCATTGCCTTCATTCTTTTGGTCATGTTTGTATGGAACTGAAAATATATTTCTGATCCCTTTATTTTCGACTTCTTCAACTTCTAATGGTGAATAGATGACCCCAAAGTTCTATTTCATGTGACCCTTTTTCTGCCGTCTTACTCTTATCCCTTTTCATCATTCTTGATATTTAGCCAGAGTGCTTTGATTTTCCAATTTTCTGTTTATGAAATCTGCGGTATTGCTATTTATTGATGTAGTTTCCATTTTGTTCTCATTGGTAATGGATTAGTCAACTTTATTCGTTGTGTGTGATTTAATATTTGATGTTAGAGACCGACAATAGACATCCAAATGAATTTTTTTATCGACCCCCCAGTAAGAAAGGAGGAATAAGCGGGAGCGTCAATCACTCCTTTTTCTTTGGTTGGGAAATTTAATCGGTCATACTACATGTACAATAGAAATTGACAACCGCTCGCATGGGAGGCTCACGGTGAATAAAAAAATCGTGGGCTCCTCCCTTGTGAGGGGCTTGTCAACTAGACAACCCCGATTGTATAACTAGCAAAATTCAAATTTAATTGCAATTGAAATACTAGGAGTTGTCAAGAATTCAATATCTTACAATAATGAATTGAAAATATCTATAAGACAACCAAAAAAAAAGAAAAAAATGTTGGTCAAAGTAAATGCATTGGCCAAATTTTTTTATAAAATCAAGAATTTTCTAACAAATATCTACATTGTAAAATACTTAAACCAAATGAATTAATAATATAAAAAAAGGGTAAAAATGCATTCATCTCCAAAGTATAACATCTTTTTCCAGTCATCAGCTTCCTCATAGCTTCATCAGCCACCTTATCTTCTCCCCCTTCAAATGAATCAGCTACTCTTCCTCTTCCCCGCCTCTCTGCTGCCACCGACTGCCTTATCACCACCAGCGTCGTCTCCTCCATCGTCTGGCCAGAATCCGGCAACTCCAACTTCTCCAAATACAACATTTTCATCCTCAAAGCTAGCAATTTAGCCCTATTTTCCAAATAGGATTCCTTCGAATTCAATCGTCTAAACTCTTTAATTTGCTTCCTGTTCATGCATAGTTTTCCCTGATGACTTTCATCTGTGACCACAATTTTGTCAATCAATTTGTGCTCTTTTACTATTTCTTGTATCAGATAATGCCCGGCTAATGCCACAATTAAACATGAAATTATCCATGCAATTCTCAGCTTCAGCTCATCATCTTCAATCGCTTCTGATTTGCGTTTCCTTGTTTTTGCGTTTTTTTTTTTTTGGATTTTCGAAGCAAGATTTGGCTCCTATCAGAGTGCCACTTTCTTAAGTAGAAATCCTATTTTTTATGACAGGACAAAACACATAGATGTTAAGTTTCATTTCATTAGGAATATTGTTGAAAAATGTAATATAAAATTTGTTAAAATTCCTACTAAAATTAATCCAGCATATTTAGGTACAAAGGCAATACATCTTAGTAAATTTTTTTAATCTTTAAGATTATTGAATCTTGAAGTTTACTAACTTTCTATTTGTTGTTAACAGGTAATACGAGCAAGTGAAATTCGTTTTTCGTTAGAATTCACTAAATTATAATCTCAAAATTCCAGCAATGTGGAGACTGTAAAAGGCTTTGGGTTGTTGAAATTCTTGAGCCCAATCGTTGATCTGTAATCCAAGTGAAAAACCAGCCCAATGATTGATCCACTTAACTGCAGATTCCAAAATTGTTAAAAACGTGTTTTTTGGAAACACGCTTTTACTCATGAAAGGCGTCTACTCTTGATCACTTACACCTGGCAGATGGACAACCGTTGGATCGTTTTATTGGCCCTATCTCTTATAAATAGCAAAGTTAATTCTAGGGTTTGCAGATTTTGAACCCTAATCTCACGTGACTACTATCCACCCTTTCTTGTACTCTCTTCATCTTCTGGATGAATTTTCTTGTAATTTCTTACTGAAATTTTGTAGTAGTGTGAGAAAGTGATGAGATCCACCCTTGGTGAGATTGGAGTGTAATTTTCTAACAACATATTTCTGTGGTTTTGAATGGCAGGACACCTGTGTTCCTTCTGTAATTGACTTTGCCCGATTTAGGGCCTGTGCTAGTGGATTTGAGCGTAATCCTGACGAATGCTAAGTAGGGGATTAGGTGTTAATAGCGGTCGACGAACCTTCGGGGCCCTTGGGACAAAAATTCTCCGTGTTCTTTATTTCTTGTAATTTTATTCATGTATTTTTATCAAAATTGGTTGAGTCACAAAAGTTCGATTTATTTGGGACCAACATCTAACATAAAGAATCAAACACATAGAGAATCAAAGAAGGAGGGAGAAGAAGAAGAAAACAATTGAGCCACTAAAAGAAAATTAGGTTTCTAATGAAATTGCACAAGTTTATATATTACAAGAATCCTATAAAAGAAGGAAACTAATATTAAACTAACCATACACAATAATATTATATAATAATCATATAAGGCTAACATCCTCCCTCAAACTCACAATACTATAGCAAGAAGCAACGAGAGACAGTCAAGCAAGAGAAAGCAATGAACTGGATGAGACTTCGTGAAGAAGTCAGCAAGCTGTAACGATGAAAAAATAAATGGTAGAGAAATAGTGCCAGTCTGCAGAAGATGGTGAATCAAATGACAATCAAACTCAATATGTTTTGTGTGCTCATGGAATACAGAATTGTGAGATATCTGAATAGTACTTTTATTATCACAATGCATAGGTGTTGGAGAGGGTGAAGAAACACCAATGTCTGCAAGTAACCAATGCAACCATACAATCTCAGTGGTAGTAGATGTCATATCACGATACTCTACATTTGTAGAGGAACAAGAAACAACAGATTGTTTTCTATTCTTTCAAGAAATAAGGGAATCACCCAAAAAATATACAAAAACCAGTAGCGGACTTGTGATCGGTAGAGTTACTGGCTCAATCAGCATCAGAGTAGGCACGGAGCACTAAAGAGGAGGTTGCTGGAAGCAAAAGGCTTTAAAAGCAAGTACCACAAAGATAACTCAAAATACGAACAACAACAGCCTAATAAACTGTAGTAGGAGCTTAAACAAACTAACTAGTAATGTGAACAACATAAACAATATCGGGACGCGTGATGGTAAGATAAATCAGACATCCAACAATAGTGCGATATAAAGTGGGATCAACCAAATGTACACCGTCAGAGAGAAAATATTGAGCATTGGACTCAAGAGGAGTATCGGCAATTTTAGTATCAGTAAGACGAGCACACTTAATAACATCTATAGTATACTTAAACTGAGAGAGAAGATAACTTCAAGGAGAAGAAGCAACTTCGATACCTAAAAAATAAGATAAAGTACCTAAGTCTTTCATTTCAAAACGACGAGCCAATTTTGATTTCAAATCTGCAATCCCATCAACGTCATCACTAGTAATAATCATATCAAGAACATATAGCAAAAGTAGAAAAGCAAAAATATTCTGATAAAGACGTTCCTCGGTAATATCATCATGACTCTCAAAGTCATGTGTCATTTATTGATATTATTAGGAGGGCCGTGCAGATCTAGTCTAGTCTCACTTTTGACCAGCTGAAATACATCTAAAGAATAGGACAGAGTCATGATGACTAGATGCAAAATTAAGAGAGGTAACAACTGTGGAAATTTTCTCAAACCTAGCAAGAGGTGCTTGTTTGAGACCATAAAATGCTTTCTTGAGTTTACAAATATATCCAGGAGAGTGAGAAAGATCAGGAGCAGGAGCAGGAACCGTATAAACCTCCTCATGAAGATTTCCATTCAAAAAAGCATTTTTGACATCCAACTGTGAGAGACTCCATTGACGAACAGATGCAACTGCAATAAGTTTACGAACATTGGTCATCTTGGTAACAGGAGCAAAAGTCTCCTCATAATCCAGACCATACCGCTGATTAAAACCCTTAGCAACCAATTTAGACTTGTAACGCTCAACTAAAACATTAGGTTTGGTTTAATTTTATAAACCCGACGAGAACTAATAACATATTTACCTGAAGGCTATGCAACCAAGTCTCAAGTGTCTATCTTATGTAGGGCAAAAAGTTTATCAACCATAGTCTGTTGCCAAAGAGGATCCAGAATAGCTTCTTTATAGGAAGTGGGTTTAGATAACTTATGAATAGAGGTTAGAAAATAGTAAAATGATTCAGAATAAAAAGAATAAGCAAAATCGGATAACTGAGTGAACTTACGAATGCATTGAGGATATTGATGAATAAAGGGAGCAGGTGTTGGATCAACAATCTTACGATGCTTGGGAAGTCATAGAATCAGGTGGGGTATCATGAGTTAGCGCATGTGTACCTATAGGATAAAAAGAATTAACAGTACATGAGGTATGGAAAGGTGTCTGTCAATATCATCAGAGAATGGATCAATATAAATGAGGTTAGTTTTAGTCAAGTCATGAGTAATATCATGAATAGAAAAGAGTGAAATGTACTAAAAAAATACGACATGACGAGAAATATATAATTTCTTATTAATGGGATCAAAATAGCGATAACCCTTTTGTCCCTGCCTATAACCCAAGAAAAACAGCAGTAAGAACTGCTTCTCCCCAAAATTCATTGGGAAGTTTGGCAGACAAAAAAAGGGGAATGGGCAATTTCTACAATTAATATATTCTTTACCCAAATTACATCTAAAACACTTAATTATAACAGAATGTTGAGTGTTAATAAGTGCTCTAAAAAAATTATAAATAAAAAGAAAGTCAGAACACCGTTTCATAAGATAAACTAAACAATAACGATTATAATCATCAATAAAAGACACATAATATTTAGACCCTCCTTTTGTAGTAATAGGAGCATGTCCTCATACATCAGAGTAAATAAGATCAAATGATGCAATAGAATGAGAAACATCTCAAGGAAAGGAAAAGCAGAAAATTTAGCTAATTTGCAACCACTACAATAAGAAATTTCATGAGTTTTCAAATCCCCCAAATGGCTCTTAGAAAGTAAAATTTCAAACGACTAGCGGAAACATGTCCAATGGGAGAATGGCACAAAAAAATAGATAAATTCAGAGAAAAAGATGATAAGTCAACACCAATAGCTGCAACGTATGGTGGTCTCAAATTGTCCAGAACATATAACCCTTCTTGTCTATGACCTATCCCAATAAGCTTCTGAGATCGAGGATCCTGTACATGATAAGTAGTAGAAGAAAATTGAACTA